TCGTTCAATTTGTAGCTCGTTAAAACTCTAGAAGGCATGATTCTTGCCGAATTTTGACAAAACTTGGTTTTATTATACAGTACCGCCCTGAAGATTGAATATTTGTCTTCTAGAGTTTTCACGAGCTAAAGATTGAAGACGTTTTCAAGAACAAGGGCAATAACTCATACCAAATATTATTCAGTGTCGCCCTAAAGAGTTCAAAAGAAGTGTATGACTGAAGGTTGAATATTTCATACTGGTGATTGTTACTGTTCTGCTAAAAAATTTTAATAGTATGATAAAAATTTACTTGGTTGTTTATAACATGAGTTAAACCACAAACTTCTTGTTTCTGGTTGGTGGTCATAAATTATAATATTCAAAGATCTTTTTTCTGAGGTAAAAAAAAACAGCTGAAGAGATTTGGACTGTCCATCGTGAAAGAGATAATGATATTTATGAGCTCCATTTGATTAATAGATAGCTATTAATAGGTTAAGATCGTTAAAATTTGGCTGCCTAAAAAATTTTGCATGTATATCACAATATTTTTATCTGATACATTTATTTGGTATTAGAACTCACAAAATTATTAGTTAAGTATAAATGCATTTATATAATAAACTTATTTAGAAAGAAATGACTTGGTAAGGGGGAGAAGGAAGTTTGTATATCTTCTAGAACATGGTAAATGTTAATAACAATTACTAGTCAATACCTGTCAAAATCAGCTTCAAATAATTTTTGAAGTTAACTATCTTTTATTGGTGGTTGTCATGATTATGGAGTTCTTTCTCTGAATGTGCACTGTGGGCTGCAGTGTGTGCGAGTTAAAGATCCCTTGACTGTTGGAATTCCAAATGAGTAGACTAATGCTGCTGTCCTTTTAAAATTGTCAATTCTTGACGGATTTCAACGAAATTTGGCTTGAGTGTTTGTTATCACCCATTGATAAAGCCTATTGAAAATGAGAAAAATCGAAAAAATATTTAGTATGTGTTATTGCCCTTGATCTTGAAAACTCGTTCAATTTGTAGCTCATAAAAACTCTTGCCGAATATTATTCATTACCGCGCTGAAGATTGAATATTTGTCTTCTTGAGTTTTCACGAGCTTCAGATTTCAAAAACAAGGGCAATAACTCATACTCAATATTATTCAGTATCGCCCTCAAGAGTTCAAAAGAAGTGTTTGACTGAAGTTTGAATATTTCATACTGGTCATTGTCACTGTACTGCTAAATATTTATGTTCAAAATCAAAGCTGCCAGTGGGCGTATATTACCTTGCCTGGCAAGCTATCTTCTAGCTTGTAAACACTCTAGAAGGCACAATTCTTGGTGGATTTTGACAAAACTTGACATGAGTGTTTGTTATCAACCAAGGATAATCCCTATTGAAAATCAGAAAAATCGAAAAATATTTAGTATGAGTTATTGCCCTTGTTCTGGAAAATGCATTCAATTTTTAGCTTGTAATCACTCTAGAAGACACAATTCTTGACGGATTTTGATGAAACTTGCTGTGAATGTTCATAATCACCCCAGGATGAACCCTATTGAAAATCAGAAGAATTGAAAAATATTTAGTATGAGTTATTGCCTTTGTTCTTGAAAACGCTTTCAAATTTAGCTCTTAAACACTAAAAGGCATGATTCTTGCTGGATTTTGACAAAACTTAGTTTTATAATTCAGTTCCGTGCTGAAGATTGAATATTTGCCTTCTAGAATTTTCACGAGCTAAAAATTGAACACGTTTTCAAAAACAAGGGCAATAACTCATACTCAATATTATTCAGTATTGTGCTAAAGAGTTCAAAAGAAGTGTATGACTAAGGGTTGAATATTTCATACTGGTGATTGTTATTGTACTGCTAAATATTTTGATTAAAAATCAAATCTGCCAGTGGGCGTATATTACCTTGCCTGGCAAGCTATCTTTCAATTAGGTACAAAAGGGTAGGAGGTAAAATTCCATTTATTTTATTTCCCAGAATATGTCAGCACAATAGAAACAATTAAATTATCATTTTTACTTTCAGATGGTCTTGTATCCTATGATATGCCACAAGGCAGCAAGCGAGGTAATGAAGTTGATCTGTACGATTTTACTTATGATGGTATGATCCATGAAAGACTCTCTGGAGGACTTGGTCAGCTAACTGATGGTGAAGAAGGTGATACCAACTTTCGTCTGGACTCTTTAGGACTCGGTATGAAAGGCTATGAATGGGTTGGATGGAAAAATGAGACTGGAAAAACCAAACCCATTGAAATTATCTTTAAGTTTGACACAGTGCGCAACTTCAGTGGCTTGAGCCTACATTGTAACAATCACTACAGTAAAGATGTACGAGTGTTTCGAAAAGCTGAAGTATTTTTCAGTATTGGAGGAAAATACTACAACAGAACACCAATTGTGTTTGAATTTGTCAAAGATGAATATTTTGAAAATGCTCGGAAAGTTATGATAAAGTTAAATCATCGTATTGGAAGATTCATCAAATTGAATTTATATTTTGAAACAAGATGGATTATGATCAGTGAAGTTCAGTTTACTTCTGGTAAGTTTTACAATTTAGATGTTCTAATTGTTCTAATTGTTCTATTGTGTCACACAGCGTACTATGAATTTTGAAGGACGACAAATATCAACCCTGAAAATACCAAAAAACTGCATGGCTTGTAAACGTGATAGATAAGAGTTTTTATTACATGAAAGGGGGGCGTATATTGCTGTTACAGATGTCGGTATGTCTGTATACAATTGCTCATAAACACTCTAGAAAGCACAATTCTTGACTGATTTTGACAAAACTTGGTATTGACCCAATGATGAAAACCATTGAAAATCAGAAAAAATGAAATATATTTAATGAGTTATTGCCTTTGTTTTTTGAACATTGTTCAATTTTTAGCATTTAAACACTCTATAAGGAACAATTTTCGACGTATCATAACAAAACTTAGTGAAATTGTTCATCATCGCCCATTGATAAACTCTATTGAAAATAAAAAACTTGAGATCTATTTTAGTTATTGACCTCAATCCTTGCCGGATACAAACATGGTACTATTGTTCTGTATCACTCCAGAAAGTTCAAAAGAAGTGTAGGACTGAAGGTTGAATATTTCATACTGGTGATTATTACTGAACTACCAAACATTTTTATTTAAAATCAAAGTTGCCAGTTGGCATATATATCCTTCTCTGGCAAGAAAATAGATCAAATTACCATCTTAATTGGGGGATTAATTAATCAGGCAATGATAATATTATTACGTGATGAGATTAACACGTGTTACTGGCAATTAAGATACAAGTGATGATAAATATTTTGTTGATTTATGGTAGAGAATGATTCCATTAATTCACAACAGTTCAAATTTCATAGCCTGTTTAATCTGGACGCTTAACTTGGCTTGACTTTATATGACTGAAGGGAAATAACTCAGAATTCTTCAGAATTGATGATATTTCAGAATACTGGATAAAGACCGGTAATTCATTTGAAATCTGTTTCCATGTTATATCACAAAATTCAACTTTCTATAACTTTTTCCAGAAATCTCTAAATTCTAAATTTTCCAATATGTCACATGAAAGCCTGGCCAAAAATGCACTATATCATGACCATGAAAATATTGAGCTAACCAAACTGAAAGTAGACCACAAAAATTAGTCAAAAATAGGCATTCGAAAAAACCGAAAGAGAGGGAGAAAGAGGATTTCTAAAAATAACACGGACTACATTCGTATACAATCATTGACATAAAAAGTTTTAGTGTTCTGAGTCCTATTTGGATTTGATCAATAATGTTCATCATTGTATCACCTACGTTGTCTGGATGCTTAACTTTTCTTAAAGTAATAACATATTTCTCATTTTCTCAGTTTGTACCCTTTATACCAGTATTTAGGAGATTACATTCATACCCCTTTTTCACTTCAAGTATTCTATTCATCTCTATCCAAATAACTTCCAGCTGCTTTCATACTAGCTAATTATCAGTATTAACGAGAGATTATCAATATCTCTAAATCTACCATAAGATTAGGCCATGCCAGAGTAGGATGTATGGACTCACTCCACTAATTAATTTGTCATCTCACGAAATTCAACCTTCTACAACTTTTTCCAGAAATCTTGTTGAAAGCTTTCCAATATGTCGAATGAAAGCATGACCAATCCTTAATGTCTCCTAAATAATTCAATATATGATGACCATGAAAATTTTGAGCTAGTCAAATTGCAAGTAGACTACTACCGGTTATACTCATCTGCAAGTGGTTGGGCACTTCACAAAACGACTATTTTTAGAATTATCCTTCCGACTTTAGGTCTTTCATCATCTCACCAAATCTTAAAGATAATGCAATTTCAAACATCAAATTCCAAATCTAAACCAAAAATTACTCAAAAATAGGCATGCAAAAACCCAAAAAAGGGAGAGAGAAAGAAGATTTCTAAAAATAGCCTGGACTACATTTGTATAAAATGTTAAAGTGGAGTGAGTCCTATATATGCAGGGTCCTATATATATGCACTTGGCTGTGGCTAAAGGGAAATAACTCTCTCTTCAAAATTTATGATATTTCAGACCACTTTGATTTGATAGATAATATTTAGAAAATCAGGTAAGTACAATGTCGGGAGAAGTTCTTTCAGAAGTATACACATCTGACTTAATAAAATCTTCATATTTGCAAATGGTTTTGTCTTGTTTTCAGAAATTGCTAAGGGTAACTTTACTCCGGAGACAGCTCCACCAACAACACTTCCACCTACATCTAATCCTGATCAGAAAAACAGAAATGGGCAAGATAATAGTGATTATGATAAATTTGCTATTGAATATGATGGTAAGTGTCTTCAATTGTTTTTCGAAGAAGGCATAAGGCTTGAAACTGTTTCAAAATTATATGAGTTTGAGTTTTTAAAGGCCATGGTTCATCATTTTGGGGGTTGATTTGGTACTGCACGAAAGTCGCATAATCCCTTGAAATATGCAATTCATTTTATTTCAAATATACCTCAAACTAGAAATTTCACTTTCTATTTCTATATATGACTTTTCTAAATCGGAGTGTCAAGAAAAGATGTTTTGTCATTTCTATATGCCCACATGAAATGGGGGGCGTAATTGGCTTAAACCATGTCCGTCCGTCTGTCTGTCTAGATTTGTTCGTAAACACACACAATTCATTATGGATTTTGACGATTCACATTTCTTGTAGGCGCGATAGAGATTACAGTTTTTATCTGATCTTGATGAAACTTGGTATGCATGTATATATTGATGAGATCTCGGTGAAGTTAGAAATTGGTAATAATTGCATTACCAGTTTCAGGGTTATTGCCCTTGACTTATTAAAAACGCATCAAATTTGGCTTGTAGGCACAAAAGAGACTACAGTTTTTATCTGATCTTGATGAAACTTGGTATGCATTTATATATTGATGAGATCTCAGTCAAGTTCGAAATTTGTAATAATCGGATAAATGACTTAGTAAAAACGCGTCAAATTTCGATTGTAGGCACGATAGAGACTACAGTTTTTATCCAACCTAGATGAAACTAGGTATGCATGTATATGTTGATGAGATCTCAGTCGAGTTCGTAATTGGTAACAATCGGATGAAAGGTTTCAGAGTTATTGCCCTTTACTTAGTAAAAGCTTGTCAAATTCGGCTCACGGTCACGATAGAGACTACAGTTTTTATCCAATCTTGATGAAACTAGATATGCATGTATATATTAATGAGATCTCGGTCAAGTTAGAAATTGGTAATAATCGGATCAACAGTTTCAGAGTTATTGCTCTGGTGTGTACAGCGATGAGACATTGTTCATGTTTGAATTTGATGATAACTTGATGAACTGTTTTTGCCTTGACTTATATTACATGATTTTAAGATTATTTGCAAATTCATTATGAAGCCACTAAAGATTTTGTTATCATTTCTGACAGCTGGTAGTGGGCGTATGTTACCTTGTCTGGCAAGCTATCTTTCTTACTTTTAAAGCTAAATTAATTAACACATGTCTCTTTACATTTCTTCGGTAACAAATCATCATTTCATCAAATACATTTTTTGAATATCAAACATCACCATCTGTCTTCACAATGGCATATTTTTTAGTGTTGAATCGTAATTTTTAACTGCAAAATCAATGTAGACCTACTAATAAAAATAATGATTCCACACAAAAAAATACGCTTTTTCAGTATAAAATGTCTTGTCTCAGACCCCCTTGCGGGGAATGGCATGGATCACATGGATCAAGCAGGCCTCTATTGATTTTGCAGGTAAAAATAACGATTCATCACTAAAAAATACGCTTTTTTCTTTTATATAACTTGCTAGGCAAGGTAATATATGCTCACTGGCAGCTAATTGCTTTTAGAAACATTCAGTTTGGCATTATGTCACTATCAGAATCTATAGTCTGTATCAGAAAAGCCAACAACGATCAGCGCCGCTTGTCGTCATAATTTCAATGCACACAATTATGAAGATAGATGGCACTGTTTGATATTCCAGAAATGTATTTGGTGAAATGCTAAGCAACATTTGTTGGGTATGATTTGTATTTGAAGATTTGTTACCGAAGAAATGTTTAGCTTTTAGCTTTAATACTAAAAAAAACTTAGAATTATGCTTATACAAATTTTACTTGACAAATTTTTGATTTAGAATTTTGATTTTTTTATGAACTAATGATCATTTAGTGAAACAAATGTTAAAAATGACCAACAAATGTAAGGAGTACATGGAGCAAAATAAGCGGTATCGCATCGCAGTTTGCGATAAATTTTCGGCAAAATGTGCTGTAATTTTCGTCAGTAGAGCAGTTTTTTGCGATACATAATATTTTCTAGTAATAAATGAAAAGTAAATTTTGTGTCTGAAACAATGAGAATCCATTAATTTGTTGCACCTTTTATTAAATTTCTCGAGGACTGAAAGTCGGCACAGAATCAAAGGAGGCATGATTGTTACTATAAAAAGTATCGTAGTCATAGATTGTGCTAAATGAGGAATATTATACTGAAGTGGATAGCAGATTATATTTCGGGTAGATAGAGTAGTTCAGCATGGATATGGCCTTCGTGGTGGAAAAAATTAATGCTTCATCATTTAACAATCGAAAGACAACACTCCTATTTGTAACAAAATAATAACAACTTTTAAATATCCATTTCCGTAAGAAAAACCGCAAACCCGAGGTTTAAATATCAGTTGGTTTGGACTTTTCTCAATCGAGAATCATAAGCACTACCTTGAAAATTTAGACTTAATGTCACGGAAATAAATATGACAAATGCAAGTATTTCATTCACTTCCAAAATAACATTGAAGATATCAGGAGTAAGGAAAGCCATTTTTGAAGAAATATTATAAAAAGTAACCATGTAGGCCTAAGTGCATTATTTACGGTGACAGATTTTTTAGATTTACTCAAGTGTCAAACGGAATGCGCAAATACATTTGGGGTTTAAGGTCTACTTCTTTTGTATTTATTTTTTCCACCGGTATTAAAATTGATAAAATCAAGATTCATTTAATTCAATGATACTAACATAACTATATAAAAAAAAGTTCTATACAATTTCAACTATCACAGAAGAAATTGCTCCATAAAATTTTAAAATGCTATGCAATTTCGGCCCAAAGAGCAAAAAACTAAGTAATTTGTACCCTGGAGTAGGAATTAAGAATTACAGCTAAGGATTAAGGCGTCTTAATATGGGGCTGTTTGGTCTTCCATAGTTATCACCAAGAAAAAGTGAAAAATTCTTAGTATGAGTTATTGTACTTGTTCTTAAAAACGCAGTCAATTCTTGACAAATTTGGACAAAAGTTGGTGATATTGTTCAGTATCAAATCAAAAAGTTCAAAAGAAGAGTATGACAGAAGGTTGAATATTTTATAGTGGCGATTGTTACTGTACTGCCAAATAATTGTTTGTTATCGAAATGTCAATTCTTTTTTTTTTTTTTTTTTTCGAAATTTACACACCTTCCTGAGCTTAGACTACAATAGTTGCAGCAACCATTCAACATTCACGAACCTTAGATATAGGCGACGATGTGCATAAATATATTTTGGATCTTTTTTGCAAAACCGGAAGTGCCACAGTTCAATATGTGCAAGAATAGATAATCGGCTCTAGAAGTCGTATTTTTCGGTCGATTTTCTTTGGGTTTGCATTTTTGGAATCTACTGTTAAAATCTGAAAGAATAGCAGTTTCAAAATTTCAAAATTCGAAAATTTTTCGCAGACATTTCTTGGCCGATTTTCGAAATTTTTGGACCATTTTTCAGTTTTATTCGGATTAATCTGAAATTTTGATAAAAGATGCATGTCACTAATGTAAACCATTTGATGTATTCCAAATTTTTGCGTCACTTCCGGTTAAAGTGGAAAATCGATTTTCACTTCCGGTTGAATAACTTCCGGTGTGATTGAAATATTTCAACGAAATTATGTATATCGTTATTAATCTTAATTCTATGGCCGATTTTAAAATAAAATTTAGTCCGAAAAAAATACTTCGGCCGCCATCTTGATTTGATACTTTTTCATAAAACTCAAAATGGGGCTTCGGGGGAGAATGGGATCGGTCAAATTTTTATGTTGGTGTATACTTTAGTCGATGGCGACAAAAATGTTGGAAATGGATTTTTGAATTTGACTTTTGCTTTTTTGCAACTTCCGGTTGAATTTTTTCAATTTTTGAAGGCTTGTAAATCGTGACCTTGACCTTTGATGACCTTGACCTTTATAGGGTCAAAGGTCATTGACCTTGGCTATCATTTGATACTTTGACCCCAGACATGTACTTCCGGTTTTATAGCTATCCGTAAAAAGCCAAATTCGCAACTTTGGACTGCTCTAACACGTGACCTAATTAACCTAGAGGGTTAATTTTTTCGGTTTCCTAATGTTCTTCTCATGCACTTTACATAGATATAGAACAATTGCTTTTTTAAAGCAAAATTGAAATTCGTGATTTTTTCAAATTTGAGTTTTGTTTTACCATATTTGTGTCTTTTTGATCTTGGTGTATGTATATCTTATGACCTATTTTATGGAGAACCTTGATATTTGGAATACAACTAGACACTTTGAATATGAATTCACCTATGGCAAAAAAATTGGGGTGGGCGTGGCGTGGCGAGGCAGGGGCATAACTCACATAGGATGCATTTGTTCAAAAAGGGCCTTTGCACACAATTACCTCATCCTTTTGGCCAGTTTGTGTTAACAGCTCAGTTGTTTCAGCTTTATAGTTCCAAAAAAGGAACGGGTTTTAACATTTGGATATTTTCATTTTTCGATTTTGACCTTTGTTGACATTTGTTGACCTATATCTTTTGACTTGAATAATGTAGAAGCTTGAAATTTGAAACACAACATAACATTTCGAATATCAATTACCCTATGCAAAAAAATTAAGGTGGGCGTGGCACATCCGGGTAATATTACTCATTATTGACATTTTTGGCCAGGAGCATAACTCGCAAAGTATACGTTTGTTCAAAATGGAACTTTGCATACAATTATCTCATGAATGGAACCACTTTGTCTTAGACATTCGGTTGTTTCTGCTTCTTAGTTCAAAAAAAGGAACAGGTTTTGGAAATTCAAATTTTTAATTTTTGACCTTGACCTTTGATGACCTTGACCTTTATTGGGTCAAAGGTCATTGACGTTGTCTATTAGTTTATGCTCTCATATTTGACCTCTGACGTCTACTTTCGCTTTTATAGCTGTCCAAAAACATCCAAATTCGCAACTTTGGACTGCTCTAGCATGTGACCTAATTAACCTAGAGAGTAAATTTTTTCGGTTTCCTAATGTGCTTCTCGTGTACTTTACATAGATATATAACAATCGTTTTTTTAAAGCAAAATTGAAATTCGTGATTTTTTCAAATTTGAGTTTTTTTTTTACAATATTTGCGACTTTTTGAGCTTAGTGTATGTATATCTTATGATCTATTTGATGTTGAACCTTGATATTTGGAATATAATTAGACACTTTGAATATGAATTCACCTATGACAAAAAAACTTATGTGGGCGTGGCACATCCAGGTTGAATTACTAATTGTTTACATTTTGGGGCTGGGGCATAACTCACATAGGATGCGTTTGTTCAAAAAGAGACTTTGCACACAATTACCTCATCCTTTTGGCCAGTATGTATTAACAGCTCAGTTGTTTCAGCTTTATAGTTTTAAAAAAGGAACGGGTTTTAGCATTTGGATATTTTCATTTTTCGATTTTGACCTTTGTTGACTTTTGTTGACCTATATCTTTTGACCTCTATTAT